CCAGCGTGATGTGGTTAGAACAGTACAATATGCAGCCTGTTGGATGGGCTTCTTTCGCTTAGCTGTATTTTAAACTGCACTCTGTGAAGCCCCTTTCGGAGAAAAGAGGTTCTGAACCCCTCAGTGCCCTTTCACTGCACAGCTGTATCTTCCCCTGTTAAGGGATCTGGAATCCTAGTAAAATTTCACTAGAAAGCCACTGTTTGCCTACAACCCTCTTGAGATCCATGGGGACCAAAAAGGAGAAAACACTTGCCCAGGGTCACACAGCCCTATCAGAAGCAGAGCCAAGCCTGGACCTCCAGATTTAGGGCTAATGAAGTCAATCCTGTCCCGCCAGCCAGTTATGAACCCAGCTGTCCCTGTGGCTGGGCCACTCCTGCACCTGTGGCCCTGCCTTCAACTTTGGAGAAGTGCTGCGGATGCTGGCCAGGCACTGGAGCCAAGCTCTCTTCTATTTCCAGCTTTCCTGCTCTGATGTCATTTTGTCCTGCTGTATGCTGGTTACTCTTGGGCTGGGGTGCTGCAGTGGAAACACTAAGACTCATGGGCGTGCTAGAGCTTGGCAGGAGAGAGGCTGCGTAGCAGGCTGTACCCTGAAGAGCACTCCTTGTGACCTTGGTTCCTGGCTGGCTGTACCATCTGTCATCTTCAGGCTGAGCTGGGGGCAGAGCTAGGGGCACATCAAGCACCCTGCAAGCTGCAAGTCCCTGCTCTGAACCTCTAGAAGTTTGGGGACTCCAGGCCAGCCTTCCAAACCCCTCTCTAGAACACCCTCCTGTGTACCTCAGTCTCATGGCAGGTCATAAGGAAAGGTAACCCTGCCTTCCGGCCATCGATCCTCCATCTCAAGTCATTGTCTTTCAACAGATAAGAGCTAAAGAGACCCAAAAGGCCTTCACATAAGGGCTGCTGGCAACAATCAATTATATACTCTACATAGAGACATTGTGATGGTCACACACACACACACACACACACACACACACACACAGAGGCTTGGAAAATAGAACCACTTGGCCTATGGACCTGATTCAACCCTCAGTTTTGAAGCTGTGCTTCAAGCCAAGCCCCTATGGTGTTGATGAGAAGTTGTAGATCAGAGTGGCATTCCAGAGGCAAACAACACACTATTTTCAGACCTTTTCTGATGAGAAGCTTGTGTG